CCGGGAGTGCAGCCTGGAGAGCAGCCAGGTCCGGTTGGTAAGTCTGTTGTGAGGGAAGGGGCATGGGGGGGCAGATTGAGGCCCCCGCAGTGGGGCAGGCGCTGCACAGCTGGGGCGGAGCACAGGAAGGGGCTGCTCACAGTTCTTCCGGGAAGGGGGGTGCGGATCCTGCAGCTGCATCCATCCCAGGAGGGCATGGGGGGGTGGCCATGGATCTGTGCATGGGGTGAGGGTGGGCTGCTGCTGCAGGCTGGGGCTGGTGTGGTGCCAGGCTCTTCCTGAAAAGGGGCTAGGCCAGTCTGTGCTTGGGGCAAGTGGCACCAGTGCTGGGTAGGGGGCTATGGGGCAGGCTGCAGCCACTCCAAAATTCACTGTAGCCCCCTCCCAGCATCACTGCTGCCCACCCAGAGTGCAGCCCAGGCTCAACCCTTGTGCTGGGAAAAGCCCTGCACTGCCTCGGCCCCAACTCGCAGTAGCAGCCCGCCCTCGCCCCATGCGCAGATCCAGGGGCACACGCCCCCCCATGCCCTCCTGGGTTGTGTGCAGCGGTGGGAGCCACTACCCTCCCACACCTCTCAGATGAGCTGCAGCTTTGTCTCACATCCTGCCCCCACCCCAGTTGGGCAGCGCCTGCCCCAGCTCCACTTCCTCCCTCACTGCTGAGGCCTTGATCTGCCCCAACCCCCCCATGCCCCTTCCGTCACAACAGACTTACCAGCCAGACCCAGCTGCTCTCCACACTGCCAGGCTGTGCTCCTGGCTGCCTCTGTGCTGTGCTGTGGCTGTACGCATGCATGGGGCATTTATTGGTGACATTATCGGCCACATCGGCCAAAAAAAGCTGATTGCTGATAATGCCAATTTTCCTTATATTGGTGCCAATCTGATATGGGAACAATGTATCAGTGTACTTCTAGTCATTAATTGTACTGTTCAACCTGTTCACAATATCAATCTTCCAGATTGCTTTCAATAGTCACTGGGAGATTAATACCGATTCTGGTACACTCCCAGCCAAACTGGGAGGATTAGCAACCCTACCACCTAGGGCAGCAATTTGAAGGGGGCAGCAAAAATGGTGTGTGCACCCCTTGCACATGCTCACTGGGGGTCACTCAGGAGTCTGGGCATGTGCAGAAGCAAGGAGGGCACCTCCAGTGCTGTGAAACCACTGCTCTGGGGCTCTGCCTGGTGCCCACCTCAGCCAGGTCCCAGGTACATTACAAGGAAGGGTAGCAGACATTAATTTGCCTAGGGCTGCAAGAACCCTTGCACCATTCTCAGGGGCCCATAACCCCTGTTACTTAAGTGATGCAGAGAGAGACAGAAGACAGCAGAACCCCTGCTACTTCCCAGAGACATAGCCAGCAGAACAATTGCAGCTTGCAGGGAGTCTAGCTGAAAAAAAAAAAACAGCAGATGCAAGCACCAGAGTTGAAGAGCTACAGGGCTGTAGCCTGCAACCGAAAGGCAGCAGAAGGCTAGGCAACTGATTTAGATATTTAATCACATTTGGGTCCTGTTGCAAAGGAGTTGCAGGTCAGATGACTAGAAGAAGCATAAAGGGGCAGATCCAGAGGGGTATAGTTGTACTTGCCTTCTGGACCACACTGCAGGAGCAGTATGAGTAGGGTCCCTAGTCCAGGTAAGACTTTCCTTGCTCTCCACTCCCTTTTCTTCCATACTCAGCAGCACCTTCTTTCCTCTTCCCTTCCCTCTTTCCTCCTCCCCCCCCCAACCACCTGCTGACTGACCTGGGGGTGGTGTGGGATCCAGAACTGCTCCTACCCCATTCCAGCTGGGCTTTGTGGGGGGCTAGGTTTAGCCCAGGTGCAGGTGGAGGGAGGGACTTGCCTGCCCCTACCACTGTCCTTGGCTGTGCTCAACTCCCCTTGCAGCTGCCCAGGCTGGAGTGGGGCAGGAAAGCCAGAATAGCAGCAGTGGCAGGTCTCCCTGACTGACACCTTCCAACATCCAGAAGTGTAGCTAAAAGGGGTGGGGAGGAATGAGCCTCTAAGCAGGAGGGAAAGAAGAGGGGTGCTGAGAACTGGTATGGGGATTCTTATTTAATTTGGGGACTTAAACGCCTCCTGTGGCCTAGCTTACTGCAGGTGGGAGGGCTAGGGGCAGGGGTGCAGCCACCACTACATGGTGAGCCATGGGCTAGAGGCTCAGTCTGTCTCCAATCCCCCAAAAGAAAGGAGCTTTGCTGAGTTGCACACAGAGTTAAATAGCTTACGTTGACTGTGTTGAAGCTGAGAGGCTTGGGAATGGCTTAAGAGGAGGCCATGGTTGCTATTGAGACACTCCATACCTTGAGCTGTGGGCTCAGGGATCTGGTGGCCTGAAGTAGGTAGGACAGGGAAAGTGAGATGCTTTACTCAGGCAATTGAACTAAGAAAATCAGACCGAGGCAGCCCATTGAGTAGGATGGAGTGGAGCACCCCAAAGCTCACTCTAATTTCTGAGTGCAGCCTCCCAAGCTTTCATAATGTCTGGTGTGGCAAGTGAGGACAGGGCGGGTACTCTGGGAAGTGAAAGCAGAGGACAGGACTAGTGCAACCACCAGTGGGTACCACAGCTGCCTTCAGGTAGGATGCTGTTACAAATGGGAACTGACTTCCACCCCTTACCCTTGCCCTCCCCTTTCCCTCTGAGCCCATGCAAAGATGCAAAGTGCCTCCCAGAGGCACAGGTTTGAATTGTAGAACAGCCTGAACAGTGCTTAAGATGCTTCATCTGATGGATGTCAGGTTGAAAGTAACAGAAAAAGCTCTGATTGCCTCTCTGAAAACTGTCACATTATGTAATTCTTCTTGGCAGGCCGGTGAAGGCTACCTCCAGCACTGTGTGTGAAAAAACTCATGTTAAATAAGCTGTTTCACATGGCTTGAGCTGGGCACAGGCCTTGCAGACTCAGCAGCTGGCACTGATAAGTGGAGGTGGAATTGGTACCTACTTTAGGCTCATCTCTCACCTCAGTGCTGTACAGGAACAAAAGGGAGTCTTGGGCTTCCTTCAGCTGCTGCCAAGAAAGCCAATCTACAGTTCCTTGAAATGTATTTGTTGCTTTGCCTTCAGCTAAAATGCTACATTGTGTGAATACCCAAGAAAGCACCCAGGGGCAGAAAGAGCTGAGGATTAAACAGTAATAATAATAATTAGTAGTAGAAGTTATTTGAATAACACTCTCTCAAGGCCTGATCTTCCTTTTAGTAGCTCTGGTGTAGATTAGGAGAAGGTCTACCACTCAACAAAATGAGAATGATGTTAATCCATTTCAAGTGAGAAGAGAATTGGTACCATGTGTGAGAAAATAATTGTGATGCATTTCTAATGAAGGACTCAGTCTTTCAAATGCAGGAGCAAGGCTTGCTTATGTGAGTAAGTGTTTGTAGGAGTTGGCTACATACCATAAGATCTCTCTGGGTTAGGTGTTTGTTTACACACATTTTACAAAAAGGGAAATGGGCAAAGTGAAGCAATTTCCTTAACTCTTTTGTGGCCTTATGGTTATTAGTAATGTTTTACTAATGTAGCCCTCCTGTGCTAAGCACTGTACACCTCTACAGGAGGGACAGTATAGCTGCAAAGCTAGATGAGGACTCGGGAGCCTGAGACAAACTTGGTACTCATTCAGGCCAGGCACCTTCTAACACAACCCTTGTGTTCATTCTAGAGTCTTTAGAAACAGTAGCTAAACTGTTGTATCTCAGGAAGATCTAATGGAACTGAAATAGTTTAGTGTAAAAACTGAATCTTAGGGCCATGTTTTCAAAAAGGCTTCAACCCAACCTTTACATTTTGTACTTGCAAATTTGCTCCTTTTCAAAATCAGTCCCTTTACTTAAAGTATTCTGCACCAAGAGTAAGTAAGAATGTTACCTCTGGGTCCAAAGTGCTGTAGGTAGCAGTGATTACAGTACGGCTTATCATCATACTGTGGAAGAAGAAAAGAAAGAGGTTTAGTAATGATAAAGGCCTGGTTTTCCTACACCCCTGAAATAGCATTTATGATGGTATCTTGGTTCTATTCCAGGATCTTCTTTTCAGCCAGTCACTCCATACAGCACATAACATAGGTACATACTGATAACCCCTCGTATGGTTTGGTTTTCAGGTTTCCAAAAGACTGTTCCTTGTCTTACCTCAGCAGGTTTAATGGGATGTTCAAGCCCAGAACTCCATCACATAAAAGAAAGAGGAATGGTGACAAGATGTTTCCCTTGAAGGCTCTTCAGCTCTAGACTTTGCTTTACTTCATGCCTGAGCCATGTAGAGCCCAAGTCTATTGACGTTCAGGTTGCAGTACAAGAATTCTGCAACAGGAATTCCCAGGCCACAGTCCAGAGACTGCATGCCATCAGGGACTGCGAGCAGGAGATAGACTCCTACTGCCAGGCCCTTCTCCCCCGGGAGGCAGAGGGTAGACCACAGTCCCCCTCCACGCCAAAGGAGGACTTTGGGACCGCCTGCTGTGTCCAGCCAGGGGCATGCACCACGGTGGGCAAGGGCCCTAAGGCCCGACGCACCAAGGCCCCTACTCCACCAGAACTGAGCAACAGGTATGCACCTCTTGCTGCCCCAGCAGAGCCTGCTGAGTTGCCGGCCCCCACAGGCAACATGGTCCCAACTGCAGCTACCGCCCCTGCTCTCCCCAAGACAAAACGTAAGGTGCTTGTTGTGGGAGACTCCCTCCTGAGGGGGACTGAGGGGCCAATCTGCCACCCCGACCCCTTAGCCCGGCAAGTCTGCTGCTTCC